TTAAAAATGTCCCATCCTTTCTTTTTTTCTAAACACATTCTAAGAAAAGGCTCCTAACCACACTGTTGCCCACACTGTCTACTGTGGTCTTTCCTGCCTGATGACATGCATTGGTCTTTCGGACAGACAGCCTTGTTACTCAAAGTCTGCTCTGTGGACCAGCAGCTTCCACACAGCCTGAGGGTTCAGTAGAAATGTGTACCTTTCGGCCCCACTCTGGACCCATGGAATCAGAATCTGTATTTTAACAGCCTCTACAAAAGTTTTGTGTGCTCATTCCAATCAGAAGCAGAGCCAGTCTCTTCATCATGCTCTATACACAAGAAAACTAGGGTTTTTTTTCTCCAAGAATCTCCACAGCTGACAGAATGAAGAGCCATTCAGTGACCACCTGCTGCTTCTATTGCACATAAACATGAAATGAGAGCCTCATCCTGGGACAGTTTCCATGTGAATTTACATGAAGGACTAACTCCAGGATGCCACCCATGTATTCATGTGAAACTTAAAATCTTCAGGATCTTTCTGAGCTCCTGTCCTTTTCCCTGGAACCTTGACAGTACAGAGAAGGCAGGAGCACCTGACTAGGCTGCCTTGCTATATTTCCCAAAAGTGAAGAAACTGCAGCAGTAACAACAATCTTGAATATCCACCAACGATGCCTGTAAGTTCAGCGATCAGTCCTCTGGTTGATATAGACAGAATCACCGCATTTGTAAGATCTATTTACTTAATTTCTCTAAAGTTCTTTGTTTTCAAGAACCTTTTAAAAATCCAATTTCAAAAGAAAAAAGATTGTTATTGATTTTAGTCACCTTAAAAAGAGAGAGAGAATTGAACATAGAGAACAGGGAATTTTCTTGACTTTTTTTTTCAAGGCAAAATTATTTAACACATTTTTTTTAAATCTTTGAAGTCATGTAATGAGATGCAGCTGAGAATTTCTTGACATGTGACATGGACAGGAGTTGGATAATCCTTGGTTCATAAGCTACTCTGCCAATTTCATTTCTTTTATTTAGGTAAAGTATCTTATTCTCTATTTATCATAAATATCTGCATCATCCTCCACCACCCACCCCCAATTGATCAGACTAAAAACGTTATTTAATTTGTCAAAGCCTCATTTTCCTCATCTTTAACAGGGGTATGATTATATCTGCCTCATAATGTTTTAGAAATTTTATAAGATAATGTATGTGCCTGGTACATAGTAAGCACACAATAAAGTTAACTATAACTTTATTGTTGTCTGAAATCCATTAAAAAAGATACTTAGACTGCAAAACTCTTTGATGGCAGAAAGTATGTCTGGCTCATATATATTATATATATACACACACACAATATATTATACACATATATACACACATATATACACACACACATACACATATATATTATATATATACACACACACAATATATATATTATACACATATATATATACACACATACACATAATCTTTAGAGTCTAGCCCACTGGTTTTTACATTGTAGGTCAATCAATGCATGTTTTATTCAACTGAATTGAATCCACTGTGTTGAGTCTGATTTCCCCTGTGAAAGAGGAAATGACTACGATAAAGGAACAATGACTTCCTTTATATGGACAAGTAGAATAGAAACCTGCTTTCCTCCCAAAACAAGTTAAACTAAGCTGCATGGTCCTACTATCATCCTGGTGACATCTACAAGCTATCCTTATGGTTCTGAGACAGGGACTATTCCATGGACTCCTTCACAAGGTGAGCCTGGCTCCTGGAGGCCACTCAGCTCCCCTTCCTCAACCACAGCTGACTCTGAACTGGCAGCCCACTCTCCAGCAAAGTCTCTGGAGCCTAGAGAAGATGACTCTTTTTTTTTTTTTTTAAGAGACGGGGTCTCCCTATGTTGCCCATGCTGGTCTCAAATGCCTGGGCTCAACGGATGCTCCCACTTTAGCTTCCCAAAGTGCTGGGATTACAAGCATGAGCCACCATGCCTGGCCCTGAGAAGATGACTCTTTAGCATACATATTCCTGACAAATTTCTAATGAAGAGCTACTTCATTGTGAAGTATTCTGCTCTCTGAAAGTGGGAGGGGTGGGTGAGGGGAAGACAAGAACCAAAAGGACATGTTACTAACACACGATAGTGAAGACAGCTGGCCAGGTCCCCACAGGAAACCTCAGAAAGCTGTGGAAAGAGGGTGGGGCAGCTGGCCGTTCCATGTCAAGCCTCCAGAATGACCGTCTACAGTGGGATCTATCATGGAGGAGAGGGTGAGGCAGGATGAAACAGAGGTGAGGAGGGAGGGGAACACAGGACTTGCTCTCTGGAAGGTGCTACTTGAGTACATAAAAGAAACTTGTTTCAAATACAGGTATTTGCATTAAATCATCCTGTTTGCCTTCTAGGTAAAGTACCAAGAATTAACTTAAAATTATGACTGATTCCTGTGTTTATTTTGGTAACTGGAAACAGTTAAAAAAGGTGACCGTGTTACCTGCCTGGCAGCAAAACTTGGTAGAAAAAAAGACTATGAAAACACAACCAAGAATCTTGTATTCTTTGTTCCTTTATCCACAAGGTTGCCTCACTTGTGCCAGCTGTGAAGAGTACAGAAAAGTCACTGGGAGGCACCCCCAAGAACAAGAAAGCATAACAATTGTTAGGCGGGGTGAAGCAATGAAATCAAGACATCAGAGTGGAGAGACACAAAATATTTTAGAGACCAGAGACCAACAGCTCCCAGGCCAGTGAGACTAGACTGTAAATTGATTAAATATATTAGCATATCTAAAGGAAAAAGTGCTGCAGTCTCAGGGGTAGTTGGTCAACAAGAGGCCTAGAAAAAAGGAAAATTTTTGAGGCAAATGCTAGAGATGTCCATTCAAGTAGTTTGGGGAATGCTTTGCAAGCTGTCTAGCAGGAAAGAAAACTTACTTTTACCCATGTAATTTTGGGCGTGATAGTGCTAGTGGAATTGCCTAACTTTCTAAGAAGGACTGTACTACTGAGTTAAGAAACAGAGGTGTTGAATTATGTGGCGGATGCCAGGAAACACTGAAGCTGTCTCTCTAACTGAGCTTGCTTGGATCTACACTCACCCACCAGCTTGCCAGTAAAGTCTAGCATCCCACATGCCAGGTCTTCAAGGAGAGAAGGGATGGCCAGAAGACAGGCACAAGGACCTTTCCAAGTTCTGTATGACTTAGGAAAATAGCATCCTGGCTTCATATACAAATTCTATGACCTGGGTTAATAGAAATGTGTGCTGGGAGACAGAAGTACTCTCTCGGTATGTCGATGGTTGTGATTGTACGGTTGAACCCAGGAAAAGGCATCAAGATAATGTCACCGAAGGCCTCTGGGCCGTGGCCAGCCTGAGTGGCCAGGCCTTCCCAATACCCACCACTGTGTGCACTCCACGCTGCTTTCTTTTGAAAATTTCCTATCAGCCTGGGCCACTGAGATCTGCTCATGATTATTCTCTAAGATGTTTGATTATAAACACATAATTTTTCTTATTCAGCATCATTATTAATCAAAGACATGCAAATTAAGAAAAAATTAGTGAAAGGAAAATTGGCCCAGGGTATAAGCAAAAATGCATTCTCGTTTACTGCTGGTGGGTATTTAAATTAGAAACACACCAAAAGTTTTAAAATATGTACACTTCTAATCCAGCAATTCTACTGCTAGGAATTTATCTTTACTTAATGAAGGATATGAACAATTATTTAACCACAATGATGTCCGTTAGAGTAGTTTACTATAGGTAAAACTTGGAAATTGTGTGAATATTCAACAGCTGAGATTGATTGAACAAATATTTATAATACAATAATATACTGACATTTGCAATATGTTACAGAAGTATAATTACTGACCAGGAAAGATACTCACAATGTATTTTTATTTTCTTCTTTTTTTCTTAGTTACATATTCTAATTTTTCTTTCTATGAACATATATTATTAAATATAGCCCTGACTCTGAATCCAAGCTAAGGAACTGCCCCTATCTGCATACAGAATAGAATGCAGGGGTTGGAAGGAGGGTGAGACATGTACTATCCCAAGCACTATCTCTGAGACAGCAAAGGAAACTCAAAGAGGTATAAATGGTTTATCTGAGGTCACTCAGCCAAGTGATGGTAGAATCAGTGACATCACTAAGTTCTCCAGATTCTTAAGCTGAGATCTATCCAGTCATTCCTGGTGCCTCCAAATTACAGCAGAACCTTGTCTCTATGCTACTCAACATCAGCGTCTCAACTCAGAAAGCAGAGTTGTCCCTCTAGCGTGTGTTGAGCCAGAATACTCGAATAAAATAGTCTTTAATGATCTCTCTTCTAAGTGACCTATACACAATAGTAGGAAATCTCAATTGCAAACTGCATCTCACATGCATCTCATATTCTAGGATTCTCTGAAGTGTGTCATAAGATACCAAACTTCTCTCAAGACATCTCAGAATGAATTGGTGAAGTGGGGAGGGGAGAGAAGAGGGAAAATGACAATGAAAAGAAGTTTTATTTTGTGACGCAGACTTACTGTCACTTTGTAATGTGAAAACTCCTCTACATTTAATAAGACTCATCATTCTATGCACCAGAAAAGAATATGCTGGCCTCTCGGAAGTTGACTTGGGTCAGCTGCAGGAAAGTTAGGTCTCTGTTCTCTTCTGTGACCCAAGTCCAGTGAGTCCTGACCAATTTCCAATGAGACATTCATTGAAGAATTGTAATTTACATCACCACCTCCGGCCTTGAATCAGCTTTCTGTAACAGCTGTTTTCTCCTTAAGCAATATTCATTTGGAGACTTTGGATAGGACAGGAGGACAGAGTTAACGCTTCCTTCATTACACAAGCCAAGGAAAAGTAGCAACCAGAGAAAAAAGGAATGTTCCAAGACACCCACCTCCCCAGGCCTCCGTCTCAGCTGCCATTAACGGAACCAAACCAGCACTGGGAAAAACAAGCGAATCTCAAAGGGGTGAAAGTTTTACTTACGGACACACATTTCCCCGCTTTCATAAAATCCAGGACAACATTGAGACTTGCGCCTATACATAGTCTTCTCCCCATGTCGATAGGCTGTCCGATAACTGACTCTATAGAGAGGGAAATATTAGCTATTAAACATAATAAAGATCTGAAAAGCAAAGTCTTTCAAACTAGTTATGAAGAAATATGGAATACACATCTAGACCAATATAATACTAACTCATCAATTTTCTAAGAAGATATTAAGATGCCCGATTGAAGCTAATCTATGCTTTATTTGAAGGGGTCAGTAGGTTCATGATTTCCCTCTTTCACTTATCCTAAAATATGTTGAAAAGTATTGATTAATTCATATATGATACCCACCTAAGCATCATTCACTTATGTATGTTTTAAAGGAAGAATTCAGAGAATTCCCTTAAAAACCTTAGGGCAGTCTCATCCCACTATAATATAGAAGGCTAAGAGACAAAAGAGCTCTCCATTTAACTAAAGCGCCATTTATTCACGGATTCATTTACATAGCATGTGTTTATTGAGCACTTACTATATCCTGGGCACTGTTCTAGACATTGGGAATGAGCAGAGAGCAAAACAATACAAATCCCTTGCTCTCAAGGAACTTACATTTTACTGGGGAAGACAGATCTGGCTGAATTTGTTAAAGTAAGGACATGCATTAAACAAATGATTAGATCATATAATGGCAGGTAATGATTACATGCTGTGAAGAAAAATAAAGCCTCAGTCAGGGAATAGAATGTGACAGGTGGGAAATGCTAATTTACACAGAGTGGCCAAGGCCAGCTTGTGTGAAGAAATGACATTCAGCATAACATCATTTAGCGCAGTACAAATCAGCAGATGCTGCACTCAACACATAACTCATACACTATAAATGTTAGTATACTACTAATAAAATTAGGGCATCCGAGATCCCTTCTATATTAACATTAATATGTAATTATATTTTAGTTTTGTTTCTGTGTTCACATTTATAGAAAAAAAAAAATACGTCTTGTTTTACTTAAGGGTCAAATTTAAGTTAGCCTAAATTGAGTCAGATGTTTAATTGGAAACATAGGCTAAGATATGAATTGCTTGACATCTGCTGCTGTCCATAGGTAACAGTGTCTCCCCCAGTTATGTGCAACACGGAGACTAGATGAATTCTTGTTAACAAGTGATGATAAACAGCAGACACTTTCTCTTCAGTTAGGCTGTAAGCTCCTTTAGGGCATGGGCTACCTTTCTGCTTTTCTATATCCCCTGTGATTTGGCACAAAGATAAGACAGTAGCAAGCCCTCAATACCTATTCACTGAATTAATGGTTGCACTTTCTGCTGTCATTAGTATCTCTGTATTAGAATCTATTCCCAGTTAGCCAAACTCATAAACATGTCTGAGCTTCTATTACCTGTGCCGCGTGCATTTAAACCAGTTTAGAATGTCAGTGCAGCTCGTGTAGTAAATTTGATCAAAGGGATGTGGGTATGACTCTTGCACAGTCACTGAGTAGCTGAAAAGAAATGGAAAAATAAGAAATCAGTATTTCTCTTTTTTAAATTAATAATATACTATGTATTTAAAAGTTTATAAGCTAAATTATCTCCATTTGCAACTCCATAATGACTTTTAACAGAGAATTTCCATGCTTGTATGGGTTTTTATTTAAACTAGAACTCCAAAAGGATCAATTTTAACAATATATTTAAAAGACAAAGATTCATGATGTAAATTTTAAAGAAAATCCTATTTTACTATTCACTATAAACCCTAATATTCCCAAATTTAAAAACACCACTCTATTTTTCTGCCTTTAATTCCCTCCTTTTATCCCAGGGCTCAAAGGATAACAAAGATCATTCACAGAAGGTTATGTTACTCAGCAAAGAAACAGTTCAAGTAAAGTAATACAGTACATTTTGCTACTGATTCTTAAAATATCAGAAAGAGCATATTTTTCTCTAGTTGGAACTCAGAATAATTTGCTTTCAGGCAATGGAAGACTATACAGTACATAACAACTGAATAAATACTATAAAGTAACTATAAAGTAGTCTTTAAACCTGGTTCTAAACATATGGCTGAGACAATTAGCCTAAAATAATCATACCAACAGTTTGCTACTACTTAAATAGTCTGTTTTCCAATACATTTTCACTAACAAGTTCCTGTTAAGAGTGAAAACATACAAGCCTACGGGCCTAAGAACGTGGGTGGAAAACATCCATGAAATATGAAGAATTCTCACTGTTCAACTGCAGACTTCTTCATTTTAAACAGTCTATTACATGCTAAAGAGCTTAGCGTCTGCCTATAAGAAAATGTGGATAATCTTCTCCAAACAATTTATTCTCTTAAAGATTTTCACTAAAATCTTTAATTCACACAAACAAACAAAATGGGTCATAATTACCGATTCACTTGCTGCAAATCAACAGCCCAAGTTCACTAATAGGAAGGAAGGAAGTTAAAATGTCAGCATGAAGAATTCAGGTTAGACAGAACCTTCTGATTTGAAAAGCTGTGTGGTGCTAGCCTCACAAACAATGGGTTTTCTTTCTGCAGCTGGTCTCTGGTAGTCATTATATATTAGGCTTCAATAGGACAGCCATGAAGTAATCGTACTATTCATAGTTTTGTATATTTCATTCTTTGCGATATTGCAATTTATTTCTAGGTAAATTTAGTGACCCTCCATAAATGTTGGGCAAATAAAACAGGCTCTATTGAAAAGAGCACTGGACTAGAAGAAGGCAGGGTTATAATTCTGTACTGACACTGAGAAACTGGGAGATGTTCAGCGGATAGCCTCACTTCCCTGGGTCCTCATGATCACGTTTTAAAATAAAAGGGATCAGAGAAGGTGTTGAAGATCCCCTCCTATTTAGCATCCTGAATTTCTAACATATACTTTCGATGACTGTTTCTTTCTCCCTCCAACAGATGTTACCCATTGCTACCTGCAAAAATAAGTTCAGATGAGGATACAGTGTGGTGTGCAAATGCCTGCATGCTATGATGTAACTCCTTTTGGGTAAAGCAAGAGGCCCCTGCTAAAATATTAATATTCTTGGAATGACATATCACATTAAGCTATCAGTATTTTCTTCAGACCCCTAGCAGTGTCCTGAGGTTCTAAGACTTCCTTACCAATATTTCTTCCTCCTGTGAAATTAAATAATTCAAATTTAAAGCTTTTGGAACTTTAAATTATTTTGAGCCTTGAGAGGAATATAACTATGTGGCCTGAGTCATGCAGCAAGTAGCTGCAACTTCTTTTTCCTATAAATGATTAGAAATAACCAAATGGCATCAGAGATAGACCCCCTCAGATCATTACCCTTCCTCATGAAATGTTAAAGCAATCTTCCTTGAAATGTAGCAGACTGTAATCAATCAAATCACTGTAACATATGTACTGGCTTTCTATGGAAAATGTCAAACCTTAATAAACTTCTCTGTTTCTGCCTATATAGGTGAAACTTTAACTTCCCCACTTGGGAAAACTGAGCCCATTCCTTTGAAGTCTGTTTTCTGTATGGCCGTCCTCAAATTTTGTGCTGAATAAACTCAATACTTAATCCTATTTTCTAACTCTCATTGTTTAAAGTTGACACTTTCAATCCAGCTGCTTGTAAAGAGCTGAATCTTAAGGCCTACAGCATTATATCTCTGTTCCATTTCTAGTGGAGAACAAAGTGAATGAATGTCCTCTGTGTATACAACTGGGGTATAGGTACAGTCCTACATCACCTATGAGCAAAATAGAGCAACTTCCCACATGTGCTGTAAGAACAAAAAAGAAACCACTCTAAATTAATGCCAGTTGGGAGAAAATACTTATTTAAACCAGTCTCTACAGTACTAATTTAGCTGAACTAAATTCATTTGTTGGAACTAGAGCTGATACAGAGTTTCCAGAAAATTTCAAAGGTCATATTATGATATTCAAGTCTGTGTGCCTCGGAGTGCAAAAGTTATCAATAAATGCATCCTGGCCAGTTCTATTTGATGTGGAGGGAAGAACCAATTCCATAAGCCAACATGTAAAATGTTTTCACTGATTTCTAGGAACCAAAAAGAGTTTTTAAATGACAGGGAATGTTAGAGTACATGAATTTCCTCTTCTTGTCACTTGCTGCTCACCAATAGCTCTTTTATTAAAAGGACAATCAAAGTATTTAGGGTTCCAATTCAACAAACATTTATTGAGCACTTCCTGCCCTCAAGGAGCTCTCAGCCTAATGAGAGGCCAATATTTAAATGCTGAATGTAATATGATATAGCTTTCCATGGAGAAATATATATAGCTTGGGAAAAATAGGAGTATAAAATTCATTATGTTTTGAGTATTTGTCCTCAATCTTGGCTCTACTCATTAAAATAATTTTGACACTCAAACCTAACACAGAACTGACTGCATATAAATTATTTTGAACTATATTAAACCATAGTTCAACTAATTTAACTATGTTAAACTACAGTTCAACTAATTTAACTATAGTTAAATTACTGTATAAACTTAAGTGGAAGCTTCTTTCTGACTGATAATAATTACCTGCCTAATTATCATCGGTCAGAAACTGAAGCTTCCACTTAAGCTTATAGGAGAAAGGTACTAAGCCTTTTCAACATGAATTTCTTTTCTGTTGTTTCTTACACACTATTTTTCCTTCTATACACTTTTTTCATTTTTTTCATTTGTAAAGGTATTATAATCACACTATGGAATATGGAAAACACATCTTTAAAAAAGAGAGCAGGAGAGAGAATTCCACAGCTCTCACATAACCACCAATAGCATGTTGTTGTGCTTCTTTACAGTTTCCAGGAGGTTTTAGTTTTTGGTTGAAGGTATTTCTAAATTCTTACATTATAATAATCATGCCATGCATATATTTCTAAAACATTCTTTTTTAACTTGAGTATATCATAAGCATTTTTCCATGTTAGTACAGTCTTCAAATTATGACTGCCAAATACTTTTAAGTGACTATACCTAATTTGCTCAATACCCACCAATCATTAGGCAATTAAGTTGTCACTCTTCAAGGGGTCCATTTTCTGGAAGCGATGTGTTTGAATCATGAAGGCAAGTGTCTGCAAGAATGGGCCTGCCTCCTCTGGTCTTTATCACCGCCGCTTTGGCCAGTGCTTAGGATGCTGCTGGAACTTAATTAGCTTCTCTGCTAACACTCCATACTGCCACATTCACCAGCAGCTGCTCCTGAAGTCACAGAGTATGAGGGTATCTCCTCTATTATCTGGTCCAATCCCACTTTAATTGACAAGGAGCAACACTGAGCTTCCATATAGAGTCAGCAGTAACACCAAGACCCTCAGACACTGTCCTGCCCCATCCTCTCTCAAACATCACTATAGAACATTTAAAGCTTCTAAAACAGACAGAGTGGGAAAGTGGAATTTTAAAAATCTGATCCTAATTCTACACAACTTTCAGCCTTCAGAAGCAAAGCTCTTTATTTCCTGTTTGTTTGTTTAATCTTCTCAAACATACTGAAAACATATCATCGCCGTGATTTTAATCTATTAAGTGTTATCTGGGGAAAACCCCAGCAAGATTTAATTTAAGGTCAAAGAACCGGGGAGTGGGGGAGGAGATGGAGAATAAGGGGAGGAAGCCATTATCACTTGGGCACATTCCAAAGTGGTTAATTACATTTTACCTGCCTAAATTATCTTGTTACTTTAATCAGATATGGTAATAATCTTCATTTCTTATCTCTGCTTGCTTCAGGACTGCTGATTCAATTACTCTCCCTTCTGTGTTAGTAATTGAAGGTTTGGGCAAAGTATGGTTTCTCTTCACTTGCACCTTCTTTAGAAGAAACCCCACTGAATGGAAAAGCTCAAATTCACAGACTACAGAAAGAAGGTTAGGAGAAGGAATAGATGATTTCTAGAGTAATTCATTTTCCAAAAAGATGCTGTACAGAGTTCCTTTAATCATAAACACCCCTTGAGTATTTAAATGATTTCATTTTCTCTCATTTCATTTTATGTACAATTTCTTAGAATCACAATTGCTGCATTAAAACAAGGCACATCTCTATTTCAAAATATTCAGATATCAATTGGGATAAAGCTAGAAGGCATTGATGGAAGTATTTTTGTTTAATGCTTCTCAAACTTGAATATGCAGAGAAATCTCCCTGGGATCTTGTTAAAATGCAGATTTCGATTTAGTAGGTCTGGGGTGGGACCTGAGAGTCTGCATTTCTAACAATTCATGCCTCAGCTCTGCAAACCACACTCAGAGGTAACCTCCAGGTGATTGCATGATTCTGAGCCATTGGGTACAGGTGGTTTTTAGCATAAGAGCTTAAAATGAGCCCTACTACCAGAATTATGCCCTTGGAACTCACCTTCCTCTCCCCATTTCAGTTCAAGCCCATTTCCATTTTTCAAAATACTAGACAAACCTGTCACCTGTGCCTTTATTTGATCATTTTAATTTATCTTCTACACCAGTCCCAATTCTTGCCAAAAAATTCTACTTTCTTTTACCTTTCTTCTAGAAATCATTATCTAGTCTTACAACAGAAAATGTATCAAAAAGAAGATTACAGCTGTCAACCCTTCTTCCTGGTAGTACATTTTTTAAAAACTGGAAAATTTGTTCATCATTTTCCTGTTTGTTCACATTCAATTTCCCTCCCCCTTAGTTAGCATTTTAGAGTTTGCACTAATCACTTGTACAGTTGTTGGGTCTATTAGGTTTCGAGATTCATGTGCCCCTTGTCTATCTGTCTTTCTCTCTCTCCATGCCCCTCCCACATTGTTGTACATATTTAGTCATTTCATTTCCTATCAGAAGATGAACTCACTCATTCAACAATTATTTATTGAACACATGCCACATGCAAGGCAGTGTTTTAGACAGTGGGAATTATCAGTGGTGAGCCAAACAATGCAATTATGCATTGGCAGCTCTGATCAACTGCTGACCAAGGAAGCAGGACAAAATGTGTATTTATAAGTGGGTGCTGGATTATTTGAAGCCTTGAAATTGTTTTCTCTCTCTCTCTTTTTTTTGGGGGGGGGATGGGGGAGACAGGGTCTTGCTCTGTCACCCAGGCTGGAGTGCAGTGGCATGATCTCAGCTCACTACAGCCTCCACCTCCTGAGTTCAAGTGACTCTTGCGCCTCAGCCTCTCTAGTAGCTGGGATTACAGGCATGCACCACCACGCTCGGCTTTTTGTATTTTTAGTAGAGACGGGGCTTTGCCATGTTGGCCAGGCTGGTCTCGAAATCCTGGCCTCAAGTGATCTACTTACCTCGGCCTCCCAAGGTGCTGGGATTACAGGTGTGAGCCACCACACACCCAGCCTTTTTTTCTCTTATAGTATTTCCCTCAGAGAGTTCATCTGTTCATATCTCACATGAGTTCATCTATTCACATCTCCCATCTCATCATGCTGGATAGTCCCAAATCTATATTCCCAAATACTTCCAGGCCCATATGTTACATTGATTTTATAAACCCAACATGGCAAACCCACACTAACCCCTTCCCTTTCAAATCAGCTCTCTTTTATTTTTCCATATGCGCAATGACATCTGGATTACTTCACACAGCAAGTGCTAAATCCTAGTCTTCTCTGCTTCCTTCACTTCCTCAATGTATTATCAAGATCTGTTGATTCTTGTTTCACAGCATCTCACAAATTTGACTTTTCCTCCCATCCCAAATCTATCATCCCTCCAAGAAGTTCAACCACCAATGGTCTCTTCCTTTACTAAATTTGACGTATACCCATTCATGTAGCCGCTGATTCATTTTTATGACTTTAATAAGTATTTATTATATATTTTCTTGATGAAATGGTTTATGGGAAGTGCTGTAAATCTTATAAAGAGAACTAATAGGAAGTCCTTCTGCTTAAATTCTGTATAATGTAGTTAACACCACAAATATATAGAACTTTATTATATACATATATTCTCTGTACAGCTTAAAGTTTCATAATAATATATAACTCCATTGACTAATCAGGTAATTATGTTTTAATTACCCTGCTTGTAACACTACCAATGGAGGTAGGGATAAGCCCTCACCAAAAATAATGCTGAGTGAGAAACCAGCGTGTCCCCAGAATAATACCACTGCTGTGCTTGAGAGGCTCTGGGCTTTGTGCGTCCTAACAGTGGGGGACAAAGGTGATTAGAATGTGTACTCTGTGGTTTGCTAATCATGGTGCTGAAGATCAAGAGTCTGAAATAATTGTACTCACAGCTATTAAAAATACATATTACCCTCAAGTACTTAACATCTTCTCTTTGTTTAAAACACTTGCATTTACACTTTTTGGATAAAGATAATTTCTGGGAAAGTCAAGTAGCACACTAGAGCAGAGCCCACTGGACTTGACTGTACTGCATTATCGTTGGATGGGTTTGTACTATTTTTGTGTTCCAAAAGGGACTATAAGGTCCTGGAGGATGACCTACTGTTTTGTACTTTCTACTGCAAATTGCTCATATCTGGACATTACATCATCTGCCTTCATATAATCATACCCTCCTGAAATATAGTTCTAACTCTGTTCTGGTTGTGCACAGTTCTCGGTGGTCCACATGGCACTGATTTCAAACTGCCTCCCCTTCCGAGATCCCCTTCCAACCATTGCAACCCACTCATCTTATTCAGTTCTTCAAGAGCATCTCAGGGGACACTACCTCTATGCAGCCTTGCCAGTTTACCCCAAAATCAGGTCTCCCTTTTCAAGCCATCTATAGCAAAATTCTTTTAAATCCCATATATTTCAATACTTTAGTACATTATCTCATGCTGCTTTCCACTTCTTACTCATGGGTTCCCATGCATAAGTCCAGCTCCCCAAAATTAATGCAAATTCAGATCAGAAACAAGACCTTAGGAAGATCTTTTAATTGCTCTATTAATGCTTTCCCTGAATCTTACAATAGAACTTGCATTAGAATTAGATATGTCAAGATTTTTTTCACATAATATATATACTGTAAGACTAAGGTGACTAACACTACCTAATTTGCTAGCTATGACTAATGATTTTTACATAAAAGTAATTTCACAATCTCTTCGCAAATTCTAATTTTATACATTTGACTGATAATTATAGTATATAAGGGAACTTCTCAGCAATTTTTTGTCAGGCTCCTTTCAGAACCATTACCTTTCCCAGTGGCTACACACATTAGGGTCTTCGAGATTCAGAGGTGATGCTGGCCCAATCCACTGGCATAATAATAAACAAATAAAGCTCAGGCATGAGTTCAAAGAAATAACCATTTTTTTTCTGCAGAACAACCTACAAGAAAAAAAAATCCAAATTAGAAATGCATTGAAATGACTCACACAGAATTCTTTTCAGTACAGCAACCACCAGGTACCAGTTGTCACTGGGGCTCATAACAAGCCATATATTTCAATAGCCAGGTCACCAAATTCCATGGTCCCAGAGAGAGGGGTGTTTCTTATGTTGTGCAGGGTGGCTACGATTTTGCAAATTACTAAAATATGCAAATCATCATCAATTGCCACAAGAACAAAACCCTTCTCATTTATGTCAGCCAATATTAAAGAAATCTACCAGAACAATTCAGAGCAACACAGGCCTCCACATTCTCTCACCCGGCATATTTCCCTTCTAGAAGAGGAGGGCACACAGAGATAGCTGGCCTCATTTGTCCTAGAAAATAAATCATGAAACAGAAGCTCCATCGAATCAAGAGAGAGGTACTTCAGGCTCAAACGGAGATTCATTTGATAAGTCATTCAATGCACTGAATGCCTTCTCCATCCTAGGCACCATGCAAAGGCTGGATATAAAATACAGAGCCAGTCCCTATCACTGCCTGTTAAGACATTTATAATTTAGTAATCATGACGTAAGTTTCTTAAACATAATGCTTCAATTTCTCCATCTGCTGAAAAGAAATGAAACGAACTATCTCACAGCGGTTTCTAAAAACTAGACTATGCATAGAAAAAAATGTAGGGCTGTTTGCAGGTCAATGTTTGAGAAAATGAACCTAAAAACCGTAAAGTAACATATTTAAAAGCTTGGAAAATAGATAGGCTGGCAAAGGAGATAGAAGAGGGTGAATGTTCCAGGCAGAGGGATCCACAGGTAAGGCATGGCCAGGTGCATTTAGGGAGTTCAAGTTAATTCATGGCAAGAGAAAGGGGACAGCTGGAGAAAGAGACAGAGGGTGAGTCGTGATGGGTTTCATAAGCCATTGTGTAGTAGGGAACTTCATCCAAGGATAACATGGAGCTGGTAAATGATGCAGAGTGGCATTAGAAGAATGACTCTAGCTGCAAGGGGAGGCTCTTGGAGGGAGGCCAGGGGAGACGCGACTGTGAACAGATCAAGGCAGCAGCAATGGGGTTGTAAGAAGTGGAGTGGCTCTGGGAGATATTTAGGATGTGGAATCGACAGGATTTGGCTATTGAACATGGATTAAGGGAGGGGAGGAGCTTCTGGTTTAGCCCCTTGTGGGGATTGTTAGCCCTTCACTGAGATGGAACCCACAGAAGCCCTCCTCTGGGGAGGGGAAGCTTTGAGTTCAGTTTTAGTTATGTCAGGTTGAAGGGTCCTCTGATATCATCAAGCGAAGCCACCTACAGGCATTTATTGAACACATGCGATGTGCTAGGACCCGCGCCAGGCCCAGGTGTGTAACACCTGTAATGGTTTGCACCTGAGAATCACATGCACTCCTGCAGCCTCTGGAATTTAGTAAGAAGGAGAAGTTTAATTGTCATGCTATGTCATCTAATCATTATAAAAATGGACACAAAATTAGAAATCACTGATCCATTTCTTAATTACAAACAAAATAAGCACCAACCTGCTTGTTGGTAAACTAGTGAAACTAGTAATAATAAGCCAGATTATTTGAGCAAAGCAGTGATTTTCTGGGTGGGAGCTGGCATTTTAAGAAGTTATACTCATTTTCCACACCAAGAAATTTTCAATATTTGGGAACCAAATGTATTGAATAATAACTTTATGGTTTGAAAAGACAAATTTATCTTAAAACAAACAAATAATAACAGCAAAAAAACAACTTTAGGAAATAGTTTATCATTCAAATTCAGGACAGATCAAATGAGGAAATATTAAATTCTTCTAAATCAAGATTGTTTAAGTATACTATGACAAGTCACCTATTGCTGACTCAACAAAGGCTAAAAGAAAATGTTTGACTTGGAAAAAGGAAAAAAAAATCATGAATTTGTAGTATAATTAAAGGATATTGTGTAAGCCATTAAAGAAGCTGTAAAATCTTAAAAAGGATATTTCAATGGTCACTAAATAATTCCAATAGATAAAGCATAAATAGACAGCCAAAATTAACTAATAGATTAATTCAAATTCTTGACATTTCTTACATGCTATCATGAAATTGTAAAATCTGAAGCTTAACATTATATAAAGAAGCTATTTCATTTAACAGGAATGAATAAAAAATGATGGTGATAATAATAATAAACGATAATAGCTAACATTTCCTGACCAATTACTGTATGCCAGACACAGTACTGAGCCATTTATGTGAATTATCTATGTAATCCTTACAGCAACTTAACTAAGAAGTAGTAATTTTTATTGTCCCTGTTTTACAGCTGAAGCCATGTAATATACAGCTAGTGTTTTCCTGATCCATCAAAAACATCTTTAATATATTGGGCTGTAACAAATAAGCATGGCAATTATTTCCTTGTCTCATTGCTTTGTCTATGTGAGAAGTATTTCCTTTCAATGAAGTGTGAAATGTGTTTAGCTTTCATTCTTTCCTCAAAGACATGAAGGCTGGTAAGCAGTAACCTGCCATCTACTCATAAACAATTACCCCAAATTGGAAAGTTTATTTCCTGAGTCATCTCAGACTCAAACCACCCATTTACCAATTAGAAATGTTTAGTCTGTAAAGTTAGAAATTGCCACAAGCCATGAATCAAGGTCCAAGAACAAGAAAGAGGTTGTGAGTTTTCTTTTAATGTAAAAATATTGACACTAATCTTCTGGTTTCTCTTCTTGCTTTGTACCTGATGCATTGCCCTGTGAAGAGGAGGTGACAGAGAAAAAGCAGAATTTGGCCACCTTCTCATTGCTTTGGAAGTTCAGTATACAGAAATATCAAACTGCATTGAGAAGTCGCAGGTACCATTTTTGAAAGATAAAATATCAGTCCATTAAAAACTATGTGTGTGTATATATGTGTGTGTGTGTGTGTGTGTGTGTGTGTGTGTGTGTATTACTTGGTCTCTTTGTCCCAATGCATTTTCCTCATTAAAATTAGAAAATTAACTGAGCTCTAGAGTAATCTGCAAAACCAAAAAGAATTGTTTGATCAAGAGGCAAGGATCATGCAAATTCACATAAGCTGGTTAAAACTGTTTGAGAAAATAACACAGATGTTATAGACGATGAGGAGAGAAGACATCTCACAAATATGCCAATAAGCTGTAGAGAACTAAGAAACACAGCATTTCTCTAAATTAGGAAACATAGATTGTCCTTTCATTCTATCTTGTTTAGTAAAGGCACTGAGATGCAATCAAAATCAGAAGTTGATAGGACATTTAGGCCAGGCGTGGTGGCTCATGCCTGTAATCCCAGCACTTTGGGAGGCTGAGGTGGGTGGATCATCTGAGGTCAGGAGTTCAAAACCCCCTGGACAACAGAGTGAAATCCCGTCTCTACTAAAAAATACAAGAAATTAGCCAGGCATGCTGGCAGGTGCCTATAATCCCAGCTACTTGGGAGGCTGAGGCAGAAGAATTGCTTGAACCCGGGAGGCAGAGGCTGCAATGAGCCAAGATCGTGCCACTGCACTCCAGCCTGGGCAACAGGAGCGAAACTCTATCTCAAAAACAGAGAGACAGAGACAGAGAGAGAGAGAGAGAGAGAGAAAGAGAAAGAATGAAAGAGAGAGAAATAAAGGAAGGAAGGAAGGGGAAGGAAGGAAGGAAGGAAGGAAGGAAGGAAGGAAGGGAAGGAAGGAGGGAGGGAGGGAAGGGAGGGAGGGAGGGAGGGAGGGAGGGAGGGAGGGAAGGAAGGAAGGAAGGAAGGAAGGAAGGAAGGAAGGAAGGAAGGAAGGAAGGAAGGAAGGAAGGAAGGAGAGAAAGAAGGAAGGAAGGAGAGAAAGAAGGAAGGAAGGAAGATAGGACATTCATTTACTTTTTCCCTGTCTTCTTTGTTTTCTTCTATAGGTTTTGGTGAGTAAATGTGGTGAGTACCCTTTTCCCACTATGTCCACTCTGAAGAAGGAAAGTCCAGTACATTTATTCTTCCTCATTTCTCTCTTCTATGCTGTGGCATCCTGTCTTATAATTTTCCACTTTGGAATGCAAATGAAAACAAAATGAAATTTTTTAAAAATAGTATTATTTCAACTGAAAACAAAGGCAATGCAGTGGTGATTTGCTTCATTAAGATAGACATTTTGAATATATTCAAATCTCTAAATTGGGTGTTGGCTACCCTCACCCACTCAGACTTCCTCTTCAAATAACTTTCCTATGATTCCATTTAACACAATTTAAAATGTAAAAAAATGAAGTCATTTGCATGAACCCCCTAGTGCCAAACTTGATTGCATTTCAGATCATTCACTTAATTATTATGGAAAAATCAAAACAAAATCAGTACAACTGATTAGCATTGCTAAAGTGCTCCTATTAGAAACGGAAACAGCCCATAGAGTTAACTCTTGCTGCCTGTGTTTTGCAGCTCCACTTGGAAGGCAAGCTTTGCTTATTCTACCACAAAAGCCTCAGTAAATAATTAGGATGAATAAAATCCTTACAATGGATGAGACTTAGTTCTGATGATAAGCAGTAGTTTCTCCATCATTGAGTTAAAGGGAAATAAATAATGGGGTGTTGACTTATTAATTTATTTTTGAAACAACAGAGGGGAAAATTATTCCAGATGATTCCTTTTGGCTCCAAAATCTATTTTCTTCCTAGAATCAATTAAGTGCACACATAGAAATAACTTGGGTACCCTCAACCAGTTTTTTCTCAAGCTCATTTTCTGCTACTAAGATTCTCTCACATATCTCTAAGTTAAATTAAAACAAATTTCTTGATTAGGAATAGCCACTTTTCAACAAAAGCCATCCATTTCACCTGACCACTCCATCGTGTTATCTGTAAAGGATGTACTCACTCTGCCTCAAACTACTCAGAAAGACCGGCAGAGGCAGCGTGCTAAGTTCTTCCTGGAGCTTTGAGGCCATGAACAGAGAAGCAATGGTCCAGCTTTAGCGCATTAAAGATGTAGAATGAGTAATG